CCCCCCCCTTCTTTTGCCACCAATGTATTCGAACTAGCTAAATGCTAATTAGATTCTCGAGGCTGATTTATAATCAAACCTTTTCCATATTTGTGGCATGGGACACTGCTAAGGCGCAAAATTACTTTTTGCAGACTGAGTGGGATGGTGGTCACTACCCCCTCACACTCCACTTCAGTGAGGACTACCCAAGCAAGCCTCCCAAGTGCAGATTTCCACAAGGTTTCTTCCATCCAAATGTTTACCCCTCCGGTACTGTTTGCCTTTCAATTCTCAACGAGGATAGTGTAAGCACACTTCTTTGGCCACTTCTGCGAGGTCGATGACTTAGGCTTCGTTTGGGAAGACGGTTTTTTTATTGCTTCTTAAAATAACTTTTTAGTTTAAAAATTATAATTTTTATACTAGAAAGCTGTTTTAAGAACAATAAGAAAGTCGTCCCAAACGAAGCCTTAATTTTGAGGTACCAGACAACTTTTGATGCTGTTATGTATTATTCATTGTATGCAGGGTTGGAGACCTGCCATCACTGTGAAACAAATTCTTGTGGGGATACAGGATTTACTTGATCAGCCAAATCCTTCTGATCCTGCTCAGACTGATGGATATCATCTTTTTATTCAGGTTTACATTTTAGAAGTCCCATAACCTTTTTATACTTGTGACTGAAATGGTTATATAATCGGCCCTCCTATAGTGGCCTCCATCACCATCCTTAGGGATTGTTTGGTAAATTCTTTTTTTGAGGGCTGATTTAGGCTTCGTTTGGGACGGCTTTTTTACCGCTTCTTGAAATAGTTTGCTAGTATAAAAATTTTAACTTTTATACTAGAAAATTACTTTAAGAAGCAATAAAAAAGCTGTCTCAAACAAAACTTTAGTCACTATTCGTTTTCATAAAGGTGTTGAGAAGCTGTTGTCTGAAAGTTGCTTTAGATGCATCTTATTCAAAGCAGGGTTTTGAATTTGTGAAGATTATTTGAAAACCATGTCAAATTTTGGCTTGGATTAAACTCAACGAGTTGACTAATAAGTCAAAATTGACTTATATTCGACTAGACTTAGCCGAGTTTTGATTAGATTGATTTTAACTCGAGTTCTCATCAAAATGTTGCATGTATGTGTCAATGTGTGATTGAATGCAGATATGTTTTTGCATCTATATTATATAAGCATTTCTATTGGATCAGATTTAGGCTCTAATTGAAGCAACAATTGATGACCGATTCAAATTTAATGAGTCGAGCAATAACCAGGCTTGATCGAGCAATAACGAGGCTCGATCTTGAGCTTGGGTTAGATCAGCTCAAGATGAAATCGTAATCTCGTCAGAAATAAGTATCTCATATGTAATCTTTCTAATAAGAACAAATGGATTTGCAGGATCCTGTGGAATACAAACAACGGGTTAGGCAGCAAGCAAAGCAGTATCCTCAGCTGATCTGATCTCTCTTTCTTCACCACAAGACCAATGTGATATTTCTCTACCTGCTTTTAATATGTCGGCATTGGCTTTTTAACCATGGAACTTCTCTGTTTTGAACTACTCTTTCCCCATTGTGTGGGGCTTGTAATTAAAGATAGATCTTGTTTGAACTTCATGAATATCTTGTTTGAACTTCATGAATAACTGGCGCAGTTGAAACAAAATGTTTTGGTAAGAAAATATACTTTTTTACTTTGGTTGTGCAAAACCTGAAAATTTTAAAGAGCTGTCTGATTATTACCTTTTCTGAGTGAATTGTTCGGCTATCATTTTGTTATCCTGCATTATGCTGGTTTTCACTGAATTTTGCCGCTGATTTGTAATCAAGTAAACAGTTGACTAATTTACTTGGGTTTCATTTTAGATAGTTTTTTTAATGTTTTGTTATTAACACTGCAATCAAAATTTTTGTTTGGCTACTAATTTTTTGCTATTTTTTAAAACAATTTTGTACAATGAAGATGCTTTTTATTATAGTTTTCAAAAAGGTATTTTTCTTCAGAATAATTAAATAATCACCTTAGAAAAGTTACAACCATCTCAAATGGATACTTAATTTTATTAGTTTATTGTAAACCAATCAATAAATTTGAGTTTGCGTAAAAGTATGTTGCTTCACTTAGAAATAGGGGTGTCAATGACATAACCCAAAAATCCGACTAAAAAATTTTGAGTTGGGTTGACTCGAACATGAATTGGGATGGGTTTGAGTTAGGGTTTTTGACTCGTTTTAAAAATTGGGCTGGGTTCGTGTTGACCCGGAAACTCGAGAATGACTTGGAATGATACTCGCTGCCTGTGCTTGACCAGAGTTGCCCCCGTCTCTTCCAAAGACAATCTCGCGTTGCTATCAGAGTCAATCCTGCGCTGCGTCCCGAGGTAATGAACGCGCGAAGCCAATCCGTGTCGCGTTGCCCGTCGTTGCTGCTGCCGTGTTCTGTCGTCGACTTGCTGCCACTGCCGCTACTGAGTCCCGAGCGATGACGCTGTCGGTTCCTGCTGTGTTGGCCGTCAGCTTGCCACTGTCGGTGTTGCCGTGTCTGCGGGTTGGGTTTAGGTTTAAAAAATCGATCCATTTGTAAAAATGGGGCCGGTTCGGGTTGAACCAAATAGTGTTGGGTCAATTTCGAACCTTGAACCCAACCCGCTACTTGAAAATATTGACCAAACCAAATAGCTCTTAAGTATATTTTTATATCTATATGTATATATTTATTGCCTATTCATGAATGTAGGCTTTTATAATATATTTGCGCGTTAATATATTGCAGAAATGCTGAAGAGTTCGTGGGAATTGGTTGGTGGGATTAGGGGTGTAAGTGAGCCGAGCCGGCTCGAGCTTGATTCGTTTATGGGCTCGCAAGCCGGGCTTATCGAGCTTACGAGTCGAGTTCGAGCCATCTCGAATAAATATTAATATTTTTAAATAATTTTATTTTATTTATTAAATTTAAATATTAAAAAATTAATAAAAATTACCTAAGTTTTATTTAAATGTTAAACATTTCATTTTTTTTTCTTTCTAAATTTTAATTAAGTTTTAAAAATCATACTTAAGTTTTATTGATCCCGCCTAATTTTTAAAAATCTGGCGTAAATTTTAAAATTCCTGCCCTAGGTTGTGAGCTAGCTCGATCTCGTTTACAGTGAAACGAGCTCGAGCTCGCTTTCCAACTGGCGAGCCGAGGTCGTTATGGGCCTAAACTTGACTCGACTTGACTCATTTACACCCTTAGGCAGGATCAGGCCAGGTTGGCCATGATTGTGATGGCATGGATGATAGTGGCATTATTCATGTTGGAGGTCATGAGAAGTGTCAACATATCATTGACATAAGCATCATGTATAATTAGGAAGATATAAAGAATTTCTAGCGCCTTTGAACTCTTAGTGAAGTACAATAACAAGAAGCTTTTAACCTAATGCGTAGGGTTGGTTATATGAATCATTTTTTATTCATTGTGTTATATTAAGAGTCGAATTCTCATTTAAATCTAAATGAAAAGGCCATTTTTAAGTTTTAACCAAGTTTTTGAAGTATATCTCTATCTTTTTTAACATAGATTAGATTTAATATATCTATTTTCCTAATAGGGTTATTAGAAATCAGATGTTTTATGCGACCAAATTATCTAAGGTTGAGTTTCTAGAACACTCAACCTTATAGTGAAGTACAAAAACAGCATCAAGCTTTATCCTATTACGTGGAACTAGTTATATGAATCATTTTTATTTATTGTGTGCTATTTGTTATATACTTATCATCGCTTATTAGTTTTAAACTTTAAAATGAAGGGGTAGAAATTTAAAAAATAAAGTAAAACATTATTCTAGGATTAGATGGGGGCATTTAAAGAATATTAATAAAAATATTTTGAGAGTAAGAAATTATACCTAAAGATTTTATCTGGGCATAAGGAAGTTAATATTTTGTAAGAAAAAATATAGTGATATTAAGAATGTTACAAAAGATTTTCTTGGAGTATCAAAGATAGAAGTTCATAATAAAACATAAAAAATAGTGGCGGTAGAATCAAAATTAGCATATACGTGAAAAGGTTGGAGTAGCTCTAGTGGAAGATAAGATTAGAGAAAGTCATCTTAGATGATTTTGTCACATAAAACGGTTGCCTTCTGATGACCTTGTTAAGAAAGTAGATGTATTATATTTGACTTATGTTAAGAAAAGTTGAGGTCGACCTAAAAAGACTTAGTCAGAAAATATTACAAATGACCTTTCTTTATTAGATTTAAATGAGAATTTAATTCTTAACATGACATAATGGTGAAAAAGGATTCATGTAGCCAACCCCACATAGTGGGATAGAGGCTTGATGTTGTTGTTATGTTTTATTAAGAGTCAAATTCTCATTTAAATTAAATAAGCAAGTTATTTTTAGAATGTTCTAACCAAGACTTTTTAAGTTTTATGCAATAAAATCTTTACATTGTAGTACATGGCTACATACCAGAATATGACAAACAAATAAATAGCCATGACCATACAAAATCAAAAAATACCTATACTTACTAAGATAGATTAGAATCTATAACCTTAACTACTCAACCTACTCTTTCCTCTTTCCCCTTTTCCTGACCTAAAATAGAATGCAAAATATGTATGAGCAAACGCAACTCAACAGGTCACACCGATTAATCTTAATTTTTAATAATTAAGTCATTATGCATACTAAATTAAAATAGTGATTAACGGGCAATGGAACAGATCAAAGTAATGCTATTAGGTAACAAAAAATAAATAGACATTATAATGAAAGTAAATAAATGTGTTATATATATAAGAATAGAAAGTAACAAAATTCTCTTAGACCTTTATAACTCCCATCAAAAATAGATATCAAAATTCAAGCCCTTATGACTCATGGTATATTTAGCACAACAAAACTTCCTCCAACATTAGAGCTTTACAAAATCATACATTTTAAATAGATAAATACATATATAATTACATTGCAACAAAAGAAGTGTAAATAAATTGATATCAGAAATTCACATAATACTTTATTAGTAGTCAACATATTCAACAACTGAGTAAAATTTCATCATTCTAGAATTTCACCTGATTATTAAGGATCATTTAAAATATTTTTAAAATTTTTAAATATACTATAATTTTATTTTTTATATTAAAGTTATTTTTTAATTTGCTAAAAATAAAGAACTTTTTAATGTACCTAGTAGAATTTTTTTAGAAAAACATTTATATATTCAAAATGATCATATCTAAAAAATATAAAAAGTTATATAGTGAAAGTTTACAGATGTGAAGTTATCCCTATTTCTAAGCTAAAAATTTATAATTTTAATAAAAAAATTGATTTTTTTTTTATTTTTTTTTTTAAATTGAGATAGGTAGAATGTAACCCATCTTAAGCTAGATAATTTTCTAAATTGAGTTGACATCGAAAAATTGACTTTCTCTCTCTAGTTGGCAACACTCACTTGGCAGGGGGGGGTGAGAATTTGGAAAATTGAATTATTTATGGAATTTGTTATTTTAATAAAAAAGTTTTCTTGGCACGACAGTGCTTTAGAAACTGATGCCTTAATGCTCCTTATAGAGAGTGCAGCGCTGCAACATTCCCCTTATTTCTCTAAAAGATAGAGAACTCAATATGACAACACTACCTACCTTAATATTGCAGCTCTCCCAAGGGAAAATTCTAAAATTTTTGTTTCATTCACATAGACTATTGGGATCCAGTTCAGAATAGTTTCACACATTCACATTCCTACAAAAATACTCAAAGACACGTGTAAGAATTAAAGATGAGCACATTTCCTTACATTACTATTATCAAATCGAGCCATAACAGATACAACTGCACATTGTTTCAGTGGGTATTACAAGCCTCCCCTCCTTCGAAAAATATCATCCTTGATATTTAATCTCTTCGCTTCTCCTTGAAGTGAAATAAAAAATGGCCATCTAGTGGTCAAAACCCCAAAGTGTTGAAACACCTTCTTGACATAGTGTATCCATTATGCATAATAGAAGTGCCTTTTTCACTTAAGGGCATTTAACTTTAAATTGCATACAATGTTCATTATGATAGGGCTTTTTTTATTATACATCAATTTTATTATACTTAAGGTTTTTCGTAGTACACTAGGTAGTAGCTATCTTGTCCCAAACATGATTATGAGTTTGATTGAGTAGCTTGAGTTATATATAATTGAAATATCTCATTTCTCTCATTTAATGGGTAATTTTTTATATTTCTATAGATTATAAGCCTTACATCTTTTCATATATATCTCTTAGAATTTGTCTATCTAGGAATTCAGAAATTTTTTTCTCAATATGAAATCATGATGCCAAATATGAATGACATAAAAATTGATTAGTGATAAAGCATTTTGTGGTTGGTTTTGGTTGACTACCTTATAAGGTATATAGTTTTGAATTTGATAGCCTGAGAATGATAGACCCTTGATGTCCTACAGGTTTATATCTTCATTTCCTTAAACTTCTTACACCTCACATATTACACTTTAATCTCATTACACTCCTTTATTTAGTCTTTGCTAGTTTAATTACTCTGAATATAAAAAACTTTATATATGAAAAGACAATCATCTTACCTGCTTGATTTACCCTTTTCCTTATAGATTGATGTTTTTTAGAGTATAAATTACACTACAAGGTCAACAATCATTTGAATTCTTGCTTGATTTTAACCAACACATATCAAGGTAAAGGCATGCTTCATTTATCAAGAGTTAATCTCGAA